CCACATTTTCCTGTCCTTTGTAGCTCTTAATAAATTTCGTCTTTTTGTTATCTCTTCTAAAGCTTGTTCAGCCATCCATTTGCTCAAGTTGGCAATGTAGTATATATGTTGTTTTCCTCTGTCCTTCTTGCTTTCAATCTGTCCCGTGTGTATCAAATTTTCCAAGTCCTCTTTCTTCATTATGGGAGTCGGTATCACGTGCTCATATTTGAATTCTTTGACACGCACACGCACTAACATATTCAAACAATCAGAAAAAGGGACAGTTGAAAGTTCTGTGGGATGTAATGAGAAAAGGGGTCTTGGATAATTTGATACTCACGGAGCATATCGAAGGTAAAAAGTGCAAAAAGGACAGAGATGATTTATTGATTTGATTTGTTTTTACGGGTTATCAACCTTTTACAGGTTATTTAACACCAGAAAATATATTTAGTTTGTAAGACTTTTGGAGATAATAATTGTTTTTACTGACGAGGAGAAATGAAATTATACTTTTTATCTGTACGGGAGTGAATATAAAGAACCTGACTGGATTTGGAACTCCGCTAAAGAAACCTTAACCAGTGAGTGTGTCATTAAACAAATACTATGTAAAGAAAAAATCTATACCAACCAACTTATCCAGTATACCACCCGCACTATCCAAGCTTAGAGCACTTGGTATTCACAAGCGGGTACCCATTTAGGCCAATAAGGAAAGTAACGCTGCAACATTCAGGCTTTTTTTTTTTTTAAGCGTTTCACCCAAAGCAAGGCGAGAAGCCACTAGGACGCAAGGGGTTACAGAAAATTTGGAGCAAGATCAGATAGGAGTGATAGAAGAAAGGATGAGGAGAAGGGTAGTGGATAGATCAAGGCAACTGGAGATGTCGATTGACATTACATTTAAATAGCTGGAGATTATAGCTCTCAGGGAAACTGGAATAGGGAAGGGAGTTCTACAGGTGAGAGGTGCGAGACATGAAGCTATTGGAGTAGAAGAGACGGCTACATTTAGGAGTTTCGACAGTGAAGGGGTGAGAGGGATGCCAGCCTCGTAGGGCGCTTGAACTCGTGAAGTCTGGGAACCAGCGAATGCAGCTCCTCGGAGCAATTGCCATGAAAGTATTTGTAAAACAGACAGAGAGAGGCGACGGCGCGTCTGTGAGAAAGTGACTGTAGACAAGATGCCAGCGCTTGTCAGTAGTTTTTAATGATATATATATATATATATATATATATATATATGTGTGTGTGTGTGTGTGTGTGTGTGTGTGTGTGTGTGTGTGTGTGTGTGTATGTATTCTAGAAATGCTTTTATGGATATTGTTCGGACGTGCTCTTCGCTATGGTACCTAGACTTTTTAAATTTAAGCGCAGTACTAGATTGGGGTATATATCTCATCAATTTACGGTTGAGCTGGCTAAATGTAGCCGTAAGTTGTATGCTAACAGTTTCTTTTCTCGCACTTCTCGCTTGTGGAACTCACTTCCGGTTCCATGCTTCACACCCAACTTTAATGTGCAAAAATTTAAATGCAATGTCAATCACTGTCTATTGTCATCTTGATTACTCTATTTTCTTCCCGTTCATTATTAAAGTTTCTATTCCTACTTCTTCAACACCCTGTAACCCCTTGTGTTTTACTGGCATTACTCCCTTGCATGGGGTGATATCGATTAATATATATATATATATATATATATATATATATATATATATATATATATATATATATGTGTGTTGGGGAGCAGATTATTATTCAAACATATATATATATATATATATATATATATATATATATATATATATATATATTGTTAAATATAACAAAACAACGAATGTCTATTATGTTTGATCATGAGCCGTTCTAAGTTTCGTATAGTGGCTTTAGTTTCCGGTGAAAATAAAGACAAAAACTGTCCAACATTTGGATATTTTTTTATTTTGTTCCTTGATTTAAGCTTTCGGCTCACATGAGCCATCTTCAGGATGGTTATATGGACATTTAAACAAATATATTCAACATCAAATATGACACCCTGTTATGTTTACAGAGAAGTTTGCTATGCGACGATAACGGTCACGGAATAGCAGACGCAGTTCGTAAATTCGTAATGTTGTTCTATAACATCATACATGACCACATGAGAGAAAGAAATGTTATCAACAGAACCATGTGTTTAAATGCATTGTAATATGTTGTGACTGGTTTGAAATGTAATTTTGTTGAGTGCTTTGTTTGTAATGTGGCCTCGAATATCTTAAGGTTAAAGCCTCATTCCCAAGCTAAAGAAATCTACAAGTTTTGGCGAATATGGTCGATAAACCAAGAAATCTGATTGGCTGAATGAAGAAAGAAATCCGATTGGCTGAATTTATGAACAAATGTGATTGGCTGAAATGCTTATCAGTCGATAAAATGGAACGACAGCACCTGTTTCGTTTTTACTATAAATGTCAAGAAATCTAAGATTGTCTGATCAATAAAGCTTTTAGCAGGACACCTGTTCCTTCCAGTTGAAACCTGTAGTCGTGTTTCGGATCAGCAGAAAAAAAAGATGGGAAGCTATTTGGGGATTATAATCAGATTCAATTTCTTTTATGTGCCATAGGACGTAGGCGATCATAACTCTCCACAACATCTTATCTATTGTAGTTCTAAACAGTGTTTGTCTTTTCACTATGCCTTTCTACGTTCTTCTTTCCGTTTACAGAAGCTTGTTAGGTAGGTTACTCGCTGTTCCTCTCTTACCTTCATTAACTCCTGAGCGTATAAAATTCACCAAACCCTCTTTCCTTATTATGTGCCCTAGAAATTTCGACTGTACCTTTTCGATTCTAAATAAAAGTCTCCTTTTTGTTTCCAATCTCTTTAAAGCTTTGTCATTGGTTACATAATCCACCCTTCTGTAGAAACATCTGTTTGCTTCAAGTCTTCTCTTCATCTGTGATGATATTGTCCAGTATTTACTGCCATATAGGATGGCCGATATTATATAACAGTTCATTATTTATTTCTAACGGACTATTCCTGTTTCTTAATACTTTGCTTAGTTTTTGGAAGGCATCTTTCAATATCCTAATGCACCTTCTGTTTAGAGTCTCACATTTTAACATCGTAATTTATTCTTAAAAGGAAAATCCAGGATAAAATCCAAAGAAAAATCTACAATGGTATTAGTCCTGACCTATTCTAATAGGTTATGTGACACACACAATAATGTCTCCATTTGGTTGACTGAGGCAACATAATCTTCCGAATGCCCTTTCATTTCAAACTTTACCTTGGGCCAGACTAAGATAAATTTAATAAACGTAAATACTGGCAATCAGAGATCAGTCTATATTTCGATAATAAGGAAGTGTAACTATTTACACTATTTACATTGTTCAGACTGTTATCCTCATCTTCATTGTCATATCCACGACGTTTCGGGCGTTGTATGTTCCAGCCTTCTTCATCGTTTTGTTTATATCAACTAAAATCTTTTCGGATGTCCTAATTGTGGAAAGCCTTTGAAGTAGGGAAGCTAAGTCTTTTGAACATTTACTTATCTATTAACTAGATTTAACTAATATATATATATATATATATATATATATATATATATATATATATATATATATATATATATCGATATGAAGAGATTTTTTATTATATATATATATATATATATATATATATATATCGATATGAAGAGATTTTTATTTATATATATATATATATATATATATATATATATATATATATATACACGAGATATAATCTCTTCATATATATAATATACATGAGATTATATCTTGTTTATGTACATACATATAATTATATATACATGTATATATACACACACTGACACACACACAGAGACATACATACAAGCACACACACACAGACATATATATATGAAAAAATTTTGTAATCATTATGTGTGCATAGAGAAAATTCTATGTATGTATATATACGCGATATAATCTCTTCGTATATATATATATATATATACGCACGCTATAGTTCAAAAGTTTGAGGGAACCCTCGGTAAATTTTTAAATTGGCTCCAAAAGTAGAAAATTATTATACATGGTTTAAAAGGAGTTAGAAATGATTTCTATTAGAAATTTTATTATAACAAAAAGAAAAAAGTATATTATGATTACATTTTCCTCTCGTTAAAATATTCTTCTTTGGCATTGGTTTTTGGCATGCGTTGCAAAATTTCTCAAAGTATAAGTTTCATAATTGATGCCATTCTTTTTTCAATGATTATAAGAGGACCTTTTCATTATTGGGGTGGAATGGGGTGGTTTCGCTCTTCTATCAAGTTCATTCCATGTTAATAATGGGGTGGCCTCAAACTTTTGAACTGTAGTGTATAGAAAATGATTCTAAAAAACACACACATATATATACAAATTTTAAATATATATATATATATATATATATATATATATATATATATATATATATATATATATATATATATATATATATATATATGTATATATGTATATATATTTAAAAGGAAAACAGACCACTTTAAGGTACCATTATAATAATTTATTTCACCAGAGCCCTTTTAAAGGACGCCGGATCATCAGATAGCACTTCCAAAAATGAAATGAAACAAAATCAAAAAAAAGACAAAAAAAGGGCACTGGTGAAATAAATTATTATAATGGTACCTTAAAGTAGTCTGTTTTCCTTTAAATATTAACTCTGGATTTACATTGAGGCTCTCAGGATTTCATCCTCCTTGGGATTACCCATACGGATTACCAAGTTCTTCATAACTTAATTATATATATATATATATATATATATATATATATATATATATATATATATATATATATATATACACTCTCTCTACACATACACACACACACACACACACACACACACACACACACATATATATATATATATATATATATATATATATATATATAGTTCTTATATTATCACCTAATTCTTAATTTTTTTTAACCTGTGCGTTTTTGTTTTGTTTCGTTGCAGCCAAACCATGCAGTTATTCCAATAACTTGGCGAATGCCCGCCCGCCAAATGGCAAAGTGTCAAGCCCCATCAAACTGAAGATTCAAAATGCTATCAACAAAGCCCTGCAAGGAGAAATCGAAGATTCTGGTGTAATTGTCGTCGGAGGACGGAGAAGAAACAGAAAAAGAAGGCCCAACAAAAACAAACCCACTAAAAATGGTAAACAACGAAACATTTTCCTCTGAATTTGTAGGTGTTATACTGGAACACACCTATTCTATAGTTAATAGACTCTTCCACATATAATAAGTAGTAGTAGTAGTAGTAGTAGTAGTAATAGTCGAAAAGTCGCTCAGAGGAGTTGGTCAGTCAGTCGATGCCGGACGACCGTTAGTCGGATATTAAAGTATCAGCCACCACCACTAGATTTCTCTGCGTCATTACCTATTTATATCAAGTTCCTAACGTTTTGTACGTCGAACCTATTTTAGGACCGACTTAGTACAAATACAAGCCTCCACTGTGAAACCACTCTACAACAATAGGATACAGAGTTTTATCATAATTTACATCAGGACTATTGTCCTCATCGTTGTCATTCATAACATTTAGGCTGTTGCACCAACTGACCTTCATCAGGTGGTTCTTGTCCCGGGTAACATTCCTTAATCTACAGGGGTAGATTTTACCATTCCGATGGCCATGCCTAGGGATATTTGCTCTTGTCTTAGATATCTCAAGACATGGACAGCATAATGCGAACAATCTAGCCCTGTAATTGAATAAAGTGTTCAATCCAAAATTCCCTTAAGGTTATCCAGAACCTGAAGAAAACCGGAAGTTACAACAGCCGAAACAATAAAGACATGAACAATAGTCCGAATAGTAGTGGGGGAGGGTCGCTGGTATCCAAGTAAGCCTACTAGGGCTGCTAGCCAATCCCTGTTGCAGACGCCTGCTCAGGCACATTGTTTGTTCAACACCCACAGAACCCACCTGTGATTTATACTGCAACTATGCTGAGCGGTTTTTAGTTACAGTTTCTGGAAAAGACCGCATAATCTAGTGTGATCAACAGTCTGAACAAGGCTAGTACGTTCAACTTCTCGGCCACGATGACTTGTGACTTCGTGCTAGCGCAATCATCGACGGCTCCCAAATAGTTCTCTCACAAGACTTGGTTCATACCCGTGGTGTTGTTTTCAGAGACTTTTCCAAAGGTGTCGCAAGCTTGGATCTCATCCTTAGGCTGGTAACGTCAAGAAGTCACCTTCGACCATGCTGAATGGAGGATGAAATCCTGAGAGCTCAATGTAAATCCAGAGCTAATATTTAAAAGGAAAACAGACCACTTTAAGGTACCATGCTGAAATTCGAACCTGGATCTCGTGGTCGGAAAGCGTGCGTTCTAAACTCGGCCACGCGAACAATCTTGCCCCATAATTAAATAAAATGTTCAGTCCGAAATTCTCTTACCGCTATTCGGAACGACAAGCACCGGAAGTAGGCCAGAGGGTACAACGGAGAAATAACAAAGATGTAAGCTCTAGATCAGCCATTCTGATCCTTTCCTCCATCATTGACCCCCTCAGCTTTATGTATTTCTCCATTTACCCCCACCCCTACTCCCATACAAAAAATTCATAGCCATCATAAAGCATTGATGTACAATTTCGTGACTAAATGAATGAATGATTTTTTCATTCAAAATACTAAGGGTTTTTTAGTCAAAATACTAAGGGTTTTTTAGTCAAAATACTGCGCCTAAAAAATACTAAGCGACACTCAAAATACTGATTTCTTATTTAGTACTAATCTACTAATTTTTCAGTATAAGTTAGTAATCTGCATAAAATTCAGTATTTTTATTAACGTTTGTAGTCATTAATAAAAAATGATTCATTTTATCCGCTGTATTAGTAGATCTACAAATTAATACTAATCATAATCATTCATTCAAAAGACAATTTTTTTTACTATTTTTGTTTTTGGCAATTTAAAAAATTTTTGGAAAATACTAAAAAAAAATTTTTTTTTGAATGAATGATTATGATTAGTACTGACTAATTTGTGACTAAACATTGTGCAAATTAGTCATTAGTAAAAATACCAAAACAGAAATAAAAAATACTGACAAATACTAAAAATTAGTAAAAATTCAGTATTCTGATCAAAAAATTAGTAATCCAGAAAAACAAGAAGGTCAGAAAGAACCTTTTTATTGTTTAGGACATTAGGTTTTGTATAAAAATAGTATTATACATTGGTATCAAAAAAAAAAAAAAAGAAAATCAAACGTTTTCTAAATAGAAAATTATGAAGTTAATTTGTATTACAAAAAATAATGAAGAGAAACAGCAGAAGCATTATCAGTGGGAAAACTGCTGATTCAATGAGTCAATCAGTTTGTTTATACGAGGAGCTGTTTCTGATAATGCTACTCTCATATCATCATCGGCTTTCAGGCGTTTTTTTTTTAATTATCAGATACTTCAATTATTTACCCCCGACTATATAATTTTTTACACCCTAGGGGTAAATTTACCCCTGGTTGAGAACATCTGCTCTAGATAAAAATGGTGAAGCCAGAGTTGTAGCTTTGGACATCTCGAAAGCTTTCATAAAGGTCTTCTCCACATGCTGAAAAGTTCTCTGGGTATATGTTTGAACTGATCTAGCCTTTCCTATTCATATCGTGAAATGAAAGTAATCCTGAATGGCCATTCTTCCACTTCCTTTCGTAATAATGCAGATGCCCCCTCCCCCCGGGGCTCCATCCTCGATCCTACTTTGCTTTTGATTTTCACTAATGACCTTCCCTGCTCAACTTGGTATCTACGCTGATGACACAGCCATATATTTCCTGTCTCGATACTGATCAGCTTGTTAAGGTTAAAATGGCAGCTGATATCCAAAACGAATTTCAGACTGTTGTTACCTGGGGTAAAGGATGACTTCTTAATTTTAATGCCTAAATTATTTTAAATTATTCATCTGACATTATCCTCTCTGCCTTCCATCAACATGGCTGATGCTGACCTCCAGGAGAGTATCTTTCCCACCACCGTAGGGTTGTCTCCCTTCGCTTTATCTATAGATACTTTCATGGTAATTGTATGGATGAGCTGTTTGCTATGGTACCCAGACTCTCCGAATTTAAGCTCACTACTAAACTGGCGTCGAGATCTCACCAATTTACAGTCGAGCTGGCTAGATGAAATAGTAACTTCTATGCTAATAGTTTCTTTTCTCGCTTATGGAACTCCCTTCTGGCTCCATGCTTTCCATCCAACTATAATCTTGAAATATTTAAATGCAACGTCAATTGCTATCTATTATCCTCCTGATTACTCTTTCCTCTTCCCGCTCATTATTAATGTTTCTGTTCCTAATTCTTCCACACCCAGTAATCCCTTGTATCTTAGTGGCTCTAGTGCCTTGCTTGAGGGTGAACTTGATTAAAAGAAAAAACAATAGTCTGATTATATTTCATGCAAAAAAACAAAATATCTTTTTTTTCATTTTCTTTTTTGTCAATCGTAGGATGTTTCCTTTCTTTTGTATTCTTTTTCAATTTTCACAACAGATGTTCTTTGTCTTTTTTTCTATTATAGTCATCTCTCTCCCTTCCTCTCTTTCGCTTTTTCTCTCTGTTTTTCTTTCTTTCCCTCTCTCCTTATAGATATATTTCCATCGCATATTAATCATCCTTCTATCTTTCTCTCTTTCTCTCTCTCTCTTTCTCTCTCTCCCTCCTTATAGATATGTTCCCATCTCCTACTAGTCGTCTTTCTCTCTCTTTGTCTCTCTCTTTGTCTCTCTCTTTGTCACTCTTTCTCTCTCCCTCATAGATATGTTCCCATCTCCTTCTAGTGACCCTTCTCTATTTCCTTCTCCCCTACCTTGATTTCTCTCCTCGTCTCTCTCTCTCTCTCTCTTCACATCTCCTCACATCGATCTCTTCCAGTCTCAAAAGCAGAAAAATATGAAACAAGTGTAAAAAGAGGTCGTTCCCAAGAAAAACAAAACTTATGGATTCGAAATCGATTTAAACATGACTTGTCATTGGCGCATTTAATCTTCTTCCAAATCCATTGATTTGCCACTCAATGCCCCAGCTGTTCTACTCTGTCCAGTGGGCGGACACTTGTTCATTTCCCTGTGACATATTTTGTTTATGTGAGAGCACTTATTAGACATTGACATTCACGAAATTCCGAACAGAGATTTGTCTCCGAATGAAAAGGCTGACAATATTCTTGCACATAAACATAAATCCATCTATTTACGTCCCCCCTCTCTTTCTCACTCACTCTCTCTCTCTCTCTCTCTCGTATACACACAGACATATGTATATATTTATACATAAAGAAATATGAAATTTTATATAAATTTTTATATATCAAGAACAGTTTTGAAAGAAAAGATGTATGACAAATTGAAAAAGTTTTTGTGACGTGTTTCATGTGTCAAGATTCCATCGGATTGGGTTTGTTTACGTTGTTGGAACTACACATGCGCAGGAACACGAGACGCTGGGAGTGTTAAATTTTAAAATAAATTTTCTTTCAAAATTGTTCTATATATATATATATATATATATATATATATATATATATATATATATATATATATGAATTATATGAAAAATGAAACTCAATTGTACCCCATTTTGATGGTTATTTTGCACCCCAGGATATCTCCTGGGGCTTGTCAATGCTAAAATGTTTTGTTTTTTTTCAAACGTTTTAGGATTGACAACCCCTAGATTATCCCGGGGTGGTGTGGGGATGAAATGGCCATCAAAATGGCCATTTCACCTTTTCATTTTTATGTAATTCATTTATATGCTCAATAATAAATATATTGAGCTCTCTTTTGTGGATCAGTTTTAATATTTTATATTATTGGGATCTACTTGGATTACTTACCCACGGATTTTTACTTATCTATCTATCTATCCTTCTCTCTCTCTCTCTCTCTCTTTCTCTCTCTTTCTCTCTCTCTCTCTCTCTGTGTTCAAGGCTCTGGCGGTCAACGCAGGTCCCCCAGTAGTCACTTCTCGGACAAAGTCTCTTTCTGATTTGCATTACTGATCTACGTAAGAATATACTGAAATCATTTGTAAACATTTCTGCCGATGATCCGACGATATACGGATGTACTTCTAAAACCATTGACGATCAGATTTTGGCATATGACCTCGCTTTCGATCCAGCACTAACTTCCTCGTGGGGAAAAATGGCTGGTTGCATACAATGCCTCTCATACCAAACTGCTTAAATTCCATGACCAGCGGTCAGACAGTAAACGATGAACGGATGTCCTCACGAGTAGGCACTGTGCCTTAAGAAAATAAATGGGCCTCAGACTCACACCCGACCACAAGTAGAGCCATTATTAAAGATGGTCAGCTTCCTGTACTGCTCCATTAAGTACCTGACTCCTCATGCTATCCTCTACCTTTATAAAAGCTAGATCAGGCCGACAATGGAGAACTGTTGCTATATTTGGGCGGGAGATGCCCGGTCCTCACTTTCCGATTTTTATAATGTCCAAAAGCGCTTTCTAGTCTTTGCGTTTGATAAATTATTTTCAACTCTCTCTCATAGACGGGACGTAGCGAGCCTCTCACTATTCTATCGCTACTTCCATGGAAAGTTCTTGCACAAAATACATTCCTTGGTTCCGCCAGGTCTAAACATCACGGATAGGAGCCGCCATGTTACTTGAAAACCACTGCTCTGAGGTAAAGATTCCCAAGAGGATGTTTCCCCGATCACTACAATTAGAATTAACCGTTATCTTTCTCTCCTATCCGTATAAACTACCCCTGTACCTCGAGTGGTATCGGGCCTTGTACAGGGTAAACCTTACTGCAACAAACACACACGCGCGCACATACACACGCACGTACACACACATATATTACTTAAAATTTCGCATTTATTGGATACCCGTGTTTTGTGTAGACGCTCTGTTTTTTAAACAGTGTGTATTACATCCAGCGATCTGCGCATTCAATAAAACTTAATAAAGAAAACTTTAGGGTTTGAATACGAGACCCCCACCCACCCAGAGTCGTATCCGGTCTGCTTTAGACCAATCAGCCACGGAGAGCGTCATACTGTGGAGAATTTTACTGTTCAGGCGGGAGAAAGGCAATGTACTTACCTGGGTTGTTGTTTCTTACTAACTAAAAGTGGTTACGCTTTTACTAACTTTGTATAGTTAGAGGGGTCACATGACTTTATTACCACGTGATCCCTGAAGTAATTGTAATGGAGGGGAAGTGTTTTTTTTCCTTTTTATTTGTTTATATTTACTTAATGCAAGTTATTAGACGAACACGTTACCTCATGGAAAGTAATCTTATTTTTCAACTTGCAAAAGCACTTACCTTAAGTGCTTTTGCTTCTTTTATTCGACCTGAACGGTCTCTAGATTTTTGGGGGTTGAGATTTTCCCGACAATAGCTCAGCAATGTTCGTTTTACCCTTTTAAGGAATTCTCATTCCCTCGTTCAGATCTGGAAACCCAGATCCGCTCGATTTTGTATCCGAAATGTAAACAAAGTAATTTAAAAAGAATTAATGGATTCTTTTTTAATGTGACAAAGAATAGACAACTCCATTATGGATGGAACATTTTAAAGACTATCATACTGTTAAAAATATTCAATTTAAGATTTGTTTTTATTTTCATTTTTTTCTTTATTTTTATAATCGATCTAAAATATAATTTTTATTATACTTTTTGTAACGTCGTCGGAAGCCGCTCGCATCCGAACATCAGGACCGGCATCCACTCTTCCTATTCCCCTTTCTCTCCCCTGGTGGCTGTGGCGAGGATGGCTGTGAATCAAAGACAGTTTGAGGAGACCATTCAAGTGAATTTGATTTTGGTGGACAACTCTTGGCGACTGAGAAGCCCACACACTTGGCCAGAAGCACCTCCCATCGCGGTTCAAAGTGAATTGAGACAGGCATGATCTGGCGATTTGGCCTTTGAGATCGTGTAGATTTTTGCTGGCCCTACAGTTGTTGGAACTCCAGACGGCTTCGCTCTTGGGTTCACTGGGATATGCAAGCCCGCTACCATGACAAGGAACAACCAATGAAAACGAAGTCTTTATAGATTATTCATTTCAAAGTTTTGCTTCAATCCTGCTTTTCTTTATTCTGACAGGGGGCCAACCCAAAAAGAACAAGAAAAACAAGAAATACAATGGCGGTAGTAACTCGGACAGCTCGGACAAAGGTAAGTCTTCTCCCCTTGTTTCCTGTTTAGGATTGAGTTTCCGGTTCCTTCCAGTCTATTTCAACTCTGTACTTCTCACATTTCCACCTAAACTCTGAAAATTTTATTTTCTATTTATTTTCTTTTTCCATAATATGTTCGCCTGTCGTCTGGTTCACAATCCTCCCCAGTCTTTTGAACAGGACTAGAGGTTTATCCCTTGTTTCTTGTTTAGGATTGGGTTTCCAGTTCCAAAGACTTCTTCAACTCTACACTTCTAACGTCTCCACCTAAAATCTGATATTTTATTTACTATTTATTTCCTTCCCTCAATAGGAGTAGATAGGTCTGCCTATCGTCCGGTTCACACTCCTCCCCAATCTTTTGAAACTGAGTAGAGTGTTATTCCTTATCTTCTCTTCCTTAAAAAGTCTTCTTATTCTCTTTTTTTGGATTTGTTTATAGTTTTCAATTTTTAAGTGACGTACTAAAAATGTGTTTTCGTGTCATTTTTACAACGTTAGTTAAAAATCGAAAACTAAAACCGAAACCGAAAAAATAGAATAAAATTAAAAAAAAATCCCCCTTGACAAGCATATATAAATAGTCGATCCAAAAGACAAAACACATAGCCTGAAGATTGTGTTTAAGCATGAAACAGACTGTTGCCACTGGGTGTTGACATCGATGTCAACTTTATATCTTATTATTATTCTACGATTACAAAAGTCAAGGTGATGATGATGCTTATTCTGTAGGGCGGCGAACCAATCCCCGTTGAAGACGCCTGCTCAGGTACATTTTTTAAAACCACCACAAAGTCCCATCTTTGGTTTATACTGCAACTATGCTGAGTAGACCTTAGTTACAGTTTCTGGGAGAGAGCGCTTTATCTGGCGTGATCAACAGCCTGAACAAGGCCAGTAACTCGGTCACGATGACTTGTGACTTCGTACTAACACAACTATCTCAAATGTTTCCATCTACCCAATTTCACTCACAAGACTTGAGTCAACCCGTGGTATGCTTTTCAAGGACTTTCACCTCCAAAGAGGGAAGAGAGTTACCGCCCTGGTGAAATTTTAACCCGGTTCGCATGGTCGGAAAGCAACCATTCTAACCACCTGTCCATATACAATAGAATAGGGTAAAACCTTTTATGTCGACTCGTTTCGTACCTCGTGGTATTTTATCAAGACAAATGTAGAGATTTTATTTAGGAATTTGTAACGCTGAGAAAAGATAAAATTATGCGTGCAAATTTGAATTAGAGAACAGTTTAAAATATTCGAAAATCTCTCGGCATTAAGTAAAGGCAAGTTTATTTACGGAGAAGTTTTTGCATGTTAAACAAAATAGTGAATTAATGCTATTTTTATTGTTGTTATTGATATTTTTAAGCTCTGGGTTAACTGTTTTCTTTCAATTAAAAAAACGACAACTTTATGGTCGTATATGAATATATTGGTTTGAGAAAGAAGAATTTCTTTTAGTAAAAGAGATATTTAAATAAAAACAGCATAAGTTTATGTCCGGGTGGTTGTTTTATTATTACACTTTACTGTCCCGTTTAAATCTGAACTTCGTAATCAGGAATTATCTCGCTGTTTTATTGATAAACATAGAAATCAGTCAGACAGTTACACTTGGTTTAGTTTTGTTTTCATAGTGTCTACTTGTAATACAATAGATTTCTTTTTTACTCCTTGCATAAACTAAAATAAATTGTCATAGCCGGGTGTGGTAGTGGGGACAAACAGCCATAATTTATCAAATGCTCCCATAAATAAAATAATGAGTGTAATAATAATTGAATTACATATAATTACCTTGAAAGGATTTTTCTGTTGGTGTTGACCTACCGTATTTGGAATTTCTTTCGATAATTAACGGAACTTATTTACCTAAAATGGTTTTACTGTCCGCCGATGACAAAATATGTAACAATAAAATAAATTAAGCAGAATAAGGATTTCGTTCATCCGGGTATTGGCGTATCTAGAAATAAAAAAAAAAAGGGTTCAACAGATTTATCATCGTCTGGTGAGTGGAACGATGTCTTTACGAAACTTCAAGTCATTTAAACTTATTAATTTTAAATTGATTTTTTAAACTCGACATTATTTTTTATTCCTATAAAAGTTTTTTTTTTTTTTTGTGGGGACACGTATTTGATTAGAAATTACTAATTTTTTTTTTTTTTTTTTTGAAAAGTGAAATTAATACGCACTGGAATAGAAATCAATGTGTACTGACACACTTTCTTTTAGAAGACATTCTATCTCTAGGGTGGCAGACATTAATTTCCCTCTTTTTGAATATCTAGATTGATGAGTTATCATTATTTACATTTGATCTTATGTCCTCATCATTGATGTTATAACGATTTGATTAATTAGATTATGTTTTTTTTTTTAGATATTAAACATTTTTGTGGGACGGATAATTATCCCATGCTGTCACATCATTTAGACAATTTTGCTGTCACACCCATTATATATATATATATATATATATATATATATAAAAGTTGGAATCAAATATAGATCGGAATCTTACAGAATGATAAGATAAATATATATAATTTCCTTTTTTAACATGAGGCGAACAGCGGAGGCGCCAGATCATATATGGCAGCAATATTCCATGCCAGGGCGAATGGTTGACTTATAGATTTGAAGAATGGACTCGGTCGAGAAAAAGTTTCTGGCGCGACATAGGGAACCAACTTTCCTTGAGGTGGATGAAGCAATTGATTCCATCTTAGGTCAGCGGACAGTGTGAGACCAAGCAGTCGCAAATAGGTGCTCTTGTCAATTTCGTGTCTCGCACCTCCCGTCTGTGGAATTCCCTTCCCTATTCCAGTTTCCCTGAGAGCTATAATCTCCAACTATTCAAATGTAATGTCAATCGACACCTCCAGATGCCCTGATCTATTCCCTGTCCTTCTCTTCATTCTTTCCTCCATCAAACGTCTTTACTCTCGCTCCCACTCTCTGTAACCCCTTGCGTGCTAGTGGCATCCCGCCTTGCTTGGGGGTGAATTGCAAAGATTTGTTTTTCTCTGTTCTAAAGAAAACTCTCGGGTACCTGTACCGCTACAGTAAGCACCTGACTCCTCATGCTATCCTCTAGCTTTACGAGGGTCAGATCAGTTAAAAAATAAGGTACTGTTTTCATATTTAGGCGGGAGATGCCTAGACGTCACTCTCCAGCATTGATAGAGTCGAAAAGCGTCTCCGAGCCCTTGTAGGTGACGAATTATTCTCCACCCCTCAACCTCTCTCCCATAGGCGGAATGGGGCAAGCCTCTCTCTGCTCTATCGCTACTTCCACAGGAAGTGCTCGGACGAACTACATTCCCTAGTCCCGCCGATTCAAACCTTGCTGGCAAAGACCCGCCATGCCACTTACATAGTAACAAACCACACACCTCCGTATTCTATCGGTGAGAAGTTAGTTCTACAGTGTAACCCGGATATAAGAGAGTTGTCGGGACCGGAGAAGAAGTCTCTTATATATGGGTTTCTCTTATATCCGGGTTTGGTCTATTTTATATACATTAACACAGGCTCTAATTTGGGACCAGAGAAAATCTCTCTTATATCCGGGTTTCTTTTATATCCGGGTCTCTTATACCCGGGTTACACTGTACTTGAACAGCTTCTTCCGCGAACCTCTGAACTATGGAACCGACTCTCAAGAGGATGTTTCCCCGATCACTACAATCTTACCCTAGGGTTAGCCGTTATTTTCCCATCCTATCCGCACAAATTGCCTCCTAACTTAACCCTCAATCTCGAGTGGCTTCCGGACCTTGTATAGGGTGAACCTTACTGTAAAATATCTATACTGCATATTTCTATGTTCTATGCAAATGTCTTTAATGCTATCTGTTATCTTTGATGAAGGAACTCAGCCAGAGACCTCATGTAATCAGATCGCCAGTTTCATACTCTACCTATTGACGGGTTGATCTTTTTTCCCAAGTGAGCAACCACACAAGAAATAATAGTTGTATGGCTTTTCATTATTTAAAAAAAAGAAAAGAAAAATAATTTTTTGCAAGTAAAACTCGCAGGATTCGAACTTGCGTGTCCTTTATTTTTAATTATCGAAGTAAACGACATCTTTGCTTAACAGATGCAGCCAAAGTAATGTAAACAGTCGAAACTATTGATATAATGCTGTTAAATATTTGGTTATCTGGAATATAATAACAATATCGAAGCAGTTGTAATTCGCTTCCATTTCTTATACCGGATATCGTTTCTGGGAATTGGTGGTCTATCATTATGGTAAACTTGTCATATTTCTCAAAAATTTCATATACCATCTTCAGCTGTAAATGCAGAAGGACGATCACTACCCTATTGAATTTCAAACTAATATTTACGGTACAAAATTCCAAGTATTTCTTTTTTATCAGTAAATTCATTTATTATTATAATTGTTTTGGCCAATATAATCTTTGGTCTTCAAATTAAATTCGAATAACGAAGTAGCTTCTTATTGAACTGAAAATCAAATTCTATCAAAAGAACTTGATACGTCATGTAGCAACAACAACAGCATTAAGCTGACAAAGCCGCTGCAGTCAGGCTTGTTTTTATTTTTAATCTTACTGCTATTGAGTTTGTAGTATGTACTAGATTCACCTGAGATGATGACGGAATAGACTCTACAGCTACTGGTCTTCAGAAAAACCAGGTGCGGGGTCGATCTGAGGTAACCTGCTGTCTATTGTGAATAGATCCAAAAACTCAAAGGATGTCAGAGGCTGCTCCCAAATGTGAACATGACAGGCACATACAGGAAAGAACCTTGTGTAATACAGATGTATAGCGATGATTACACCATTCTGTGGGCGAAGCCGCTACAGCAGTGGTTCCAAATGGTGCAGCACCCTTCGCGGCGGAAGAGGATAGCAGGTGAGGCGGAATGATTGAAAGACAAATATTTAGAAACAATTTAAAAAAAAATAATATACCAATAATAAATATGGTTTTTAACTTTAAACTAGTATTATGGAGTAATTGCATGCAGTCCTAGTATAAATAATTAATGACCGGTTTTATCATTGTGATATTTTTGCATTATATCAAGTATTAAGAATATAGAATCTAGGGTCCGCAAATTAGAGGAGAAAGTTATCAATGATAATGTTCCAACTTCTAATCTGCGATTATCTCCATTTAACCCTCTCTCTGTTTTCTTTTATTATTAAATGTACTTTTTATCACAAAATTTGGTGAGACGCGTGCAAATTTTTAAATTCGAAAATGCGGCCCAGAGAAAAAAAAAGTTTGTGAACCACTACACTCAGATCGCTACAATCATTTCTCAAATAGTAACGGTAGTTAAAAAAGCGGTGTCAAGGGAAAAAACGTCCTTTTAACACCCAGTCTTATTGCATGTACCTTTATCCAGGTTAACAGAAAAATCTTTATACGAATAAAATTTCATGTGGTAAAATGATGACCATTATTTTTCAGATAACCTCTTATTACACATGTAAATGAATTGCTTTTTAATTAAATTAACGATACGGACTTGCTCACTGGCTGTAATTAATCGAATGACAAAACAATGCAATTTCTTAAAATGGATGAAAAATCCTGTTTTTTTTTAACAAATGCTTTGAAGCCTTGCGTCTGCCCAAACAATTGCGAAAAGCATATGGATAAAGATTACAAAATTATTGACTCACTGGATAACAAAATAGAAAAAAAACCTATGTAACATTTGTCCAGATTTAAAATTACATAAATGTAAATCGTCAAGAGACTCCAGAAAATTTGTTTCAATATTTATATGGTTTTCAGTATTTATATGGTTTTCTGGCGGAATACAGTTTTACCAAAGGATAAAATTTTAAGTCTTGCTTACCAACCCTCTATAGTCTTTTTTACCGTGTTCGCTTTAGTCTGACACAAGGACACACTCTTGGAGCACTCACCGACGACGGTTTACAAGAATAGCTTGCTTTACTGAAGTTACCCTAAAATATTTGTAATGATAGAATATGCTATATAAACTCTATTTAACGGAGAAATTGTGGGTAATTGAATGAAAAAATTTTTAAAAATTCTGTGTGACGTGCATGTTGTTCTTCAAAGGGATTTCTTCAGACTGTTTTTATTGATTGGATAAGCTTTGCAACGAGCGTTATATACGACAATTATGATAAGATGATTAGTTCATCGTATTCATAGAACTAGGGAAATATATTCTCTATTAATGATCTCCATAAAACTAGACTCATAATACTAACTAACAACTCAATAGCGACTAAGATTTCTTTTGAAAGATATTAATAGTTTCGTGATACAAGCTATGCGATAGAAGAGGTGGATTCATAGCTTTCCCAAGGGTATTTGCACGTAAGTGAATATAACCAACCCAACGGGAATTGGAACACAGCTCTCAGGTTAACAATTCTGAGCCAGAGTTTGTCTATATTTCTGAGATGAGGTATTATGTACAGTATTTACATTAGTCGGACTATTGTCCTCATCTTTGTCGCCATATTTGTCACAACGTTTAAGCCGTTGTACGCTCCGGCCTTCTTCAGGTGGTTGGAATTTCGAAATTCAGTTCAGTTCGAAATTCCAACCACCTGAAGAAGGCCGGAGCGTACAACGGCCGAAACGTTGTGACAAATATGGCGACAAAGATGAGGACAATAGTCCGACTAATGTAAATACTGAATTCTGAGCCATTATCGATTACCCCACCCGCACATCCAAGCTTATCTGGTATTCCCAAACGGTACTGATTAAGCTCAACGTTGGTTAACTTGGGTGATCGTATGGAAACCGGTGCTTCAACCTGATATGGCTGTAAACTTTAGATAAATTCCGTTCAGCTGTAGTCGTTATTGAGTTGCTAGTTAACATTATGTGTCCAGTTTTATGGAGAGCATTTCCCAAGTTTTATAAGATCAAATAATTATCTTATACTAATTATGTCATATATAACGCTCATCGCAAAGCCCATCTAATCAATAAAAGCAGTCCGAAGAAATCCCTTTGAAGAACGACACGCGTCACATCGGATTTTTTCTTTTTTTTTTCATTCAATTACCCACCATTTCTCCATTGTACAGAGTTTATATATCATATTCTCTATTTAGATATTTTAGCGTAACTTTCTATTTTTGTAAACCATCATCAATGAGTGCTCCAAGAATGTTGCCCATGCGTCAGACTAAACCAAGCACTGCAAAAACTATTGAGGTTTGGTAAGTTAGATTTACAATGTTATCCTTTGGTAAAACTGTAATCCGTCAGAAAACCATATAAATACTGAGACAACTTTCCTGGACCCTCTTGCGAATTTACATTTATGTCATGTCGTGGACATTGATTGATTGTTTTTTACGGCTTATCAACCCTTTCGTGGATTATTTAAAGCAGAAGCATATTTTGGATTGAAAGAATAATTCTTTTGTTTGCGAGGGAATAATGCATTAACAATTTGGAAATAATAATGATTTTTCTAAATCCAAGTTCTATTTTTTAACCCATAGTTGGGAGATAAATCTATACCTTTCCTAAGCGTATGTATCCTTAAGTGAATGCAACGAAGTCGACTCTAATTCAAAGTCGGATCTTCGATTTCTCATTCTGAGCCGTTTTCCATTACACCATCAGCACATACTCGTAAACAACAATGTACCTACATTTGTTTAACTTTCAAACAGAATATATAGCGGCGCCATCTTCCTGGACAGCGCCAATCTTTCCAGAAGCACAAATGTAACAATCAACACTTTATTGTATGTTGCAGACGACAATTTCCTGAAGTCATGCTTTGCAAACGACATCTGTTGAAAGCCATGTTTAATCAGAAATACTATTCGTGGGTTTGCGACGGTTTTGCTTGTTTGACCGCCATTAAATTCACCAACAACAAAACTGATAACCAAACCGGCTTCTATGCTTTCTTTTAATCTGCTTGTAAATATTCCGCTAAATTACATTTTCTCATCTCCTTTTCTAGAGAACGGTCACTCATTTAACATCTATGCAGCCATCACCAAAGGTAGGTGTACTAACTTTAATTTAACCCTTGAATCCTGTTGATTGATTGCAAGATCTTCCATTCACAAATTGCTACTGTCGTTGTCAAACTTCTCTAACAATTGGCAGCGTGTAACAAATATGGTGACAAACGAATTTGCATGCCGTTTCTACATGGGGCTCCACAGTTCGGTATAGATACGTTTTATGACCGGAGCTATGAAAGTCACGATGCTTGGTAGAATTAACCAAATCTCTTAATATCTTTTCCTTTGCTCTTAAATCACTTCCCATACTGCGAGTAAAGAATAACTTCATGAATTCTATAATCATTTACACTCAAAATCAGGCATGAATGATGCTCGTAGTGATGGGAACAAAGTTTAAATTACCAATTGATGATACCCGCTGTCTAAGGTACCTAACTAAATATTCCTGACAAAATGGTATTAGATAAGGTCTTTTATTGTGGACAATAAGAATTCTGAGGATGTCTTGAAAAATAAAATTATAGCTTCAATTAAATGAAACGAAATAAAACTGATTCCCTGTTTGGAATATGTGGTCAAGAAATTGGAGTTCAGTTTATTACTTGGCTGTAACAGAAAAATGATCACACATTTTTATTTCATAGAAATATTCAAAGACCAATAATTGTAATACTAAACTGATCCCCTATTTTTTGCCATAGGAATATATAAAGCCCTAATGGGGGTTCAGTTTATTACTTTTGTATAATAAAAAACTGATCCCCCATTTTTGTCATGGGAATAACCAAATCTCAATAAATGGTGGTTCAGGTTATTGCTCAAAAACAGATAAGTGACAAAATGCCATTGCAAATAATGGTGAATGTATAATTGAATAAAATGTATTTGTATTTTATGTTTTGAAGAATAAATTTGATAAAGAAAAGCAGAAATTATTTATGACTCACCCAACAAGATGACAATACGTCAATCTCTCTCTCTCTCTTCCCCTCTCTCTCTCTTCCCCTCTCTCTCTTCCTTTCTCTCTCTCTCTTCCCTCCTCTCTCTTCCCTCCTCTCTCTTCCCTCCTCTTTCTTCTCTTCTCTCTCTTCCCTCCTCCCTCTTCTCTCTCTTCCCTCCTCTCTCTTCTTTCCCTTCCCTTCTCTTTCTTCTTTTCTCTCTCTTACCTTCTCTCTCTTCCTTTCTCTCTTCCCTTCTCTCTCTCATTCTTTCTCTCCGCTTCTCTTCTTTCTCTCTTTCCCACTCTCTCTTCCCTTCTATCTTTCCCCTCTCTTCCTCTCATTCTTACTCTATTTATATCTCTATGTCTTATTCTGTTGATATTAGAAAATTAAATTATTTATAATTCACTCTAATAGATGATAATATATCTTTCCATCATCCACAGTCTCTTCATTTCTCTCTCGCTTACTTTCACTGTTCCGCTCTCTTTCACCTTCTCAGACTGTTCATCTCTCTTTCTCACTCATTCTTTCTATTCGTCTCTCTTTCTATCATTCTCAGACTGTTCATCTCTCTTTCTCATTCATTCTTTCTATCCGTCTCTCTTTCTATCATTCTCAGACTGTTCATCTCTCTTTCTCATTCATTCTTTCTATCCGTCTCTCTTTCTATCATTCTCAGACTGTTCATCTCTCTTTCTCATTCATTCTTTCTATTCGTCTCTCTTTCTATCATTCTCAAACTGGTCATCTTGAAGAGACGCCTCATAAGTGGTCACAACTCATAGCAAATAAAGATGACTATAGAATTGAATCAAATGTCATTATGCTTTATTTTCTGAAGTGGCATATTAAATATAATTGATTAAAAACTTATGTAAAGCGTATCACTGTGAAGCAATACGCTAATTTCCCAGACTACTGAGTTCAGCCCTCATTGGAACTCACATATTTACGGCCTTGCACCAGACTAAACTGTCAACTAAAATCTAACGCTACGAAATCGGTTTGTGGTGTGAGCTTTCAGTTTAGTTCAGGGGCGCTAATCGCGATTGCACAATTTGCGGCGCTCTGAATGGCAGACGTGCTCCAAATGTTCTGTAGATTCTTAACAAATGATCTTTATATGGCTTATATGACGAGAATTCTGTTTTAAACAAATCTTAGACAAGATTATCGTCCTATATTTATATGTGTCGTGTCCCTTCAGGACGTGGAGAATCTTGTCTCTTTACAAAGACCATAGAAAATTTTTGTTGTATTGCGATATCTAATCCCTATTCTTCCAGTCTTCTACACAAGCTCGTTAATCAGGGGTTATGCTCTGTTTTCCTCTGAACTTCTTGCTTTCAATATGTTCTGTGAGTGTCAACTTCTCCAAACCCTTTTAAGTACCCTAGAAATTGCAACTGTCTCTTTCTTATAAGAGTACTTTTTGCTTACATTTTTGCTTACAAATTCAGTTCAGTCCATGGAATTCTCAGCATCCTTCTGCAGAATCACATTTCTGTTGTCTTAAGTCTCTTCTTCATCTGTAAGGAGATTGTCCAGCATTCATTGCCATATAGGAGGATTGATATTACATAACAATTCAGTACTCTTTTGTTTGTTTCTGTTGCTTCAAGTCTCTTCATCTGTAAGGAGATTGTCCAGCATTCACTGCCATATAGGAGGACTGATATTACATAACAGTTCAGTATTCAAGTCGTTTCTCCATCGATTAGATGCCCTGCTGCCAGATGTAGTTTATCATCATGCCCAAGTCGAGGGGATTTATTTTAAAGTGAATGAGTCTCCTGACTTTTAGGTTGCCGACTTTTTTCATATTTCTTTTCCAGAGGTTACGAACTTAGGACTTTTGAAAACCAAAATAAAACTATCCGATTGGTTCATTAGTCCTCCACTTTGTCACGTGGTATGGAACGGATTCAGTGAAGCCGATTTTGAAATCTACAAAATCGAATGCACAAATACGTCACATTAAAAACATGGTAACTTCTTTCTTCTCTTAATTAATAACCACATCGACTAGAATCTCAGATCTAAATTTCAGTGACAAATTCTCGTATTGATAGTTAAATTAAACCTCGAAGACTTATGTCATTCTGCCAGTGTTGCTGATACCCTGTAATCCAGTGCTGCACCCAATATGACCGTTTCTCCTACCAGCCTTATCTGGTAAGAAGGGCAGATTAAAAACATCTCAAAGGATATTTAGATATTAAGGATACGCCTACTTTCAGAAATCTTTATACCGTTTACAATAGCACTTGCACGCATTTATTATAATAGTGTAACAAAAAGAATCCTTGAAAATGGCTAACATTTTAGTCAAAAGCGCTCGGAATCAACAAAATTTGTGACAATTTTTTTTTACATTCACTAAGTCCAGGAAAGAAGACATTTTTACGTTTACAAGAAAAACATAAGAAATAAGCAAAAGCTACCTGGTCAATCTTGATCAAGAAGCATGCATTTAAGAATGATTGATGCTCAAGTGCACAATTTTATATATATATATATATATATATATATATATATATATATATATATATATATATATATATATAAGTATATAATTGGTATATACGAAATGAATTCCAATAACCAACAATTACTATTCTTAAAAGAGTGCTCAATACAAAAGTAGAGCAGATATAATTATTTTTATATAAAAAAAATTTATAACATAAATATGCTATAAAATCACTACAAAATAGCCATTTTGTTTCAACACTCTCAGTGTCTTATCAAGTGATGATGTTGAATATAAAATAAATGGTTTTAAAAGTTTCAAATTAATTAACGATCCTTCGCTAGGGGAAAACATTGTTACAAAAGCTAGAATGACCAATCAAAACCCAAGTATAGGAAGATTCAAAAGCTTGATAACGAAATCATGTTATAATAGCTATTCAGATCTTTAAAATACGGGTAATATTAAAAAAGAATTTATTCTAACCAATAATTATTAAATTATATGATAAAATTTGATATTAAAATTAAAAACTGCCAATTTTAAAATCCAAATTTAATCAGTATTAATTTTAAAAACTATAAAATTACTGAGGAGAAAAAAATACATATGTTATTCAATTTATTTCTTCGTTGAAATTACGTTAGAACAGATGCTACAATATCCGGTCATCCGACAATACATGTATATATATTTTAATCCCAAGTGTGTGAATGCGGTCTTAAACTTACGCGTAAAACAGTACAAACACAATCAGATTATAATACATAAGCACCCAGACATATTTAGATATATATACACACAAAAAAGTGACGAGACAGGGAACATCTCCACGGCCCTTTATGAAAAAAAAAAAAAAATTAAAAAGGAAGCGGGGAAGAACAACACTTACACACACACACACACAATTAAAAGTGAATGCACTTTCCATACACATAGACACCGATAAATACATGTACACACATCCACAGACATTTTTGTAGCGATTTTATAACATATTTATGTTATAATTTTTTTTTATAAAAATAAAAATATATATATATATATATATATATATATATATATATATATATATATATATATATATATATATATATAGGTAGATAGATAGATAATTATTATTATTAACAGACAAAAAAGCAAGCAACCCCGAAGGAGCACACTTAAGATGACACACCGGAAAAAAAAGCGAGCCCAATGCCACAATATTATATTAATCATATACCTTACAGTTTAGGTCAGACCCACCGCGACTGTCAGTTTCCTGTGCGCTAAACACGCATTCTTCAAGCGGTCGGCATTCGACGTTCAGTGATCTGGGCTTTTATTCCCACCTCAGCTAACCCAAGGTGTTATAATAAGAGTAGCCGGTGAATACATATCATATACTCACCAGCTAAAATCACCGAGGTGGGGGGCACCATAAGGCCGAGAATGGAATAGTCGTAAAAACACTGTTATTTAACGGCGTGGTGGTGGAGGAGCACCAGAACACATTTATCAGTGGGCCACATAGCTGAAGAATATTTGTCTATATTTCTGAGATGAGCTATTGTAATTATTTACACTATTTACATCGTTTGGACTATTGCCCTCATCTTTATTGCCATATTGACGACGTTTCGGCCGTTTTTTCTTTTTTACGAATATTCATGCAATACAAGTCCCAATAACCACTCAAGCTAGAGGGCTATTGTGTGGAGTTGTATTAGTATAAGAAAGAGCAAGATAACAGGAAAGGTAGACAGCTAATTCTAGACTTGAAAAGGTCAATTAGCGAATACAATTTCAGATTTCAGGTGGAGACGTTAGGAATTGAAACAGACTTTACAAAAAACCGGAAATGAAATCCTAAACAGGAAACAAGGAATAAACCTCTACTCCTGTTCAAAAGACCGCGGATAAGTGTGAACCGGACAATATGCAACCCTATCTACTTCTATTAGGTATTTATTAGATTTAAATATTTGACCTTGTAAATCTGGCATTACCTTCAATGGATTAGTGTGTCAGCTTCATTTCCAGTTATGATTTGATCTTATCAAGATGGATTAAATTAATAGCTGTTTTTGACATTGTAACATTTGGCCTAGCCTTATGGAATTTCCTCCTTGTCCGAGAAGGATTCTTCGTAATTTGGAAAAATCCATCATTAAAATAAATCGACATTCTTCAACCTTCATGCCCACACACAAAAAAACTGTGTTAAAAGGACGGTTATTCCCTTGACACCGCCATTACTGTATACATTTTTGACTCCCTCGACAATATTTATTTACAAGATTAATAAAATATGTGAACCAAGTACAATGTGATATTTATTAGTTACCTTTTATAAAGATTTTTTTTTTATTTACCATTTTATAAAGAAATAAAATTGAAAAGAAATCTTTTTATTCCAAAATTTATATAAAAAATTACAAAATTATCAAAATATGTAAAACACCGACAATGCAATATTTGTTATAAAAATTATGGACATTCTGTCACAAGGAAAACTTTGTCCACCCAATGTCTAGAGAGATATTCAAAATATGAAGTTTTTGTGGTCTCACCTAAAGTTTAAAATTAAAAAAATGTTTCATTCAGAGGAAGAGATGCTTCCAATTTATTTCAGAGGCGAGAGCAAATCTATATATGAAATTCTGTGACTTCCGTTAAACTGTCGGTCCGTCCGACAACCCTCTAAAATAGCCATGCATTGACTGATCAAAACCACATTTTGGGGAGAAGTGCAAACAGTTAAGGGGGTATAAAGTACAATTGGTTTTACAAGATTGTGTAGATTACTGCAATAGATTTTCATTCATTTTTTTTTTTTTTTTTGAAAAATTAAGTTTTATTATTTGACATACAAAATACTCCTATTATTTTAAAAACAATTTAATAATTAAAATAAAAAATACTTATTTAAGAAAAATGCAATATTGTTTTTTGCATATCTTTTCTTTAATTTTTTATGTATACAAGTATCTTGTTTCCCGTTAGCCTGCGTTTGCGAGAACTCTAAACAACTCACGAGGCAAAACGCTTCAAAGTTGGAATTTGACAACAGAAAGAAATATTTACGCATGACCAGTTGTATGTTGCATGCTCAAGAGTAAAAAATCCTAAGAATTTATTCCTCACTGTTAAAAAGGAAAAAAATTGTCTTTAAAAAAATATTTTTTTATCAAATTAAATTAAATTAAATTAAAGAAATTATTAAACCGCAAAGTCGGGTTTTTGTCAAAGTATTTTTCCAAACAAATCCGCTCATTCAAATTTCATGAATTGGATT